CGGCGCCTTCAGGGAGAGGAGGCTCGTTGATTGTGGCACCGGGCAGAGGCAGGTGACTCCACTGATGAACGTTCCGATGGCTGGGAATTAAGGAGGGCTGAAATCTGCCTCCTTGTAAGCTTCTGCCTTCCACCGTTAGCTTTGCCTTCTCACCTGTGAAATGATTTCCAAGGACATTAGCAGTCCCAGCAAAGGCAATTTGATCCCTGGTGCCTCCAGCCCATCCCGAGTCATGCCTGTTCTTTGAGATACAACTCAGATAATTCTGAGAGAGGGTATGTTCCAAGTTTCCAAGTAAAGGGAAAGCTTGATTTTACCTGAACATTTCAGCCGACAGAAATGTGAACCATGGAGTGGTGGTGGGGAACGTCTTAACAAATTGTTCCTTTTTAATTAAAAGATTGCTTTTTAAAAGCTCCCCAAAGATATTTTTCCCCCATAAGTTGTTTTATATAGAGTTTAAGTTTTTTCCCCCACTTCAGAAAATAAAAGAAAGCCCAGTCAGGTGCATTATTTTAAATATAGCAATAATGAAGAACTGAAGTTTTTTTAATGAATCAAAATTCCCACGGACTATTTTCTACCTACGTGGATAAATGCGGCCACCAGAGGGGCTTCTCCACGAACGACAAAGGATTCTTAGCATCTTCCTCCACAAGCAGTGTCCCTTGAGTTATCCCTGCTTTGGTTGCTGACATCATCAGCTTCCCAGTCAGCCACGCCAGAAAGCCGGGCCTGGTTCTGGATGCATGGATTCTCCCATCTCCTCTCCCCTCCAGTCTGTATCTCCCACCCATCCGGTCTCGCTCACTCCTGTGACTCCTGCCTTGGCCCAGGCCGTCCCTGACTCGTTCCTCGTCCCCTCCCACGTGGGTTACGCTGGAGCGATGCAAAGCTGGGGTGACAGCAGCGCGAAGACAGTGGAGTCTGTCTCTGCACGTGCTAACGCCCTCCCTTCCTCTCCCACCTAACAGACTCCTACTCATCTGTCAAAACCTCCTCCTAAGCTTCACCTTTCCGGGCATGGTGGATGCCACCCTCCACCCCTACCAGGTCCATCATTTCCTCGAGCTGCATCTTGTACACACGTTTATTACTGGGCTTGTCTCCCCATGTCCATCTTTTACTTATCACTTGTTCATACCTCTGACTCCCTCCCTCTGGTGGGGGTTTTCCTACATTTTCACTTTTCTACCAAAAGTAAGTATGGCATTCATAATCAGAAAAAAATATTTTAAAAAAGAGGAGATAAAAGTAGTAAGAAGTAACATCCACGGAGCCGTCACTGTGTGTCAGGCATTGTTCTAAGCGCTTTATATGTTAACTCCTTTCATCCATCACGATTCTGTGAGGTAGGTACTATTATTGCCCCCATTTTTATTCCCCTTGCTTCAGGAATGAAGGAAGGAAGGAGAGGAGGGAGGGAAGTTCTCCAGGCACAGTAACTGATACAGTGAGATTCGAAGGCCTTGGAGCCCGAAGCCCGGGCTTGAGCTCCCTCATCGCCCTCTCCCCAGACCATGGAGGGGATCCCAGCCCCTCCTCTGACACCCCACGCCACTCCCTCGTCCTTGACGCTCTTGGCCAGTAGCTCAGGGAGCACACAGGGGACACAGAGATGAACGGCCCGTGGTTCCCCCACGGAAGGAGGCGCCAGTCTCGTCGTCATGATGGCCAGCCTCACTGACAGCTGAGCCCTGTGCCAGCGCAGACTGTCTCCAGTACCTTCAGCCTTGTCTCTCACAATCACAGGGGCTGTCAGTCCTATTAACATCCCTCTTTTTACAGATGAGAAAACCGAGACACGGTTAGTAGTAGCGGAGCCGGGGTTCAAACCCAGGCAGTCTGGCTCCAGAGCTTGGGCTCTTAATGATCCTGCTGTCCTAAATCTCTTGACAAATGAAATGGGGGAACTCGAAGAAAGCTAGCCTGTGTTCTGCTTGGGGAGGGACGAGGCACAAGGCGGTCACAAAAGGCTGCACTGAGGAAACAGCCTTAAAGCTAAATTGAGAACAGGATAGCTAAAATACAGTCAGCCATTCCTCATTTATTCTCCAGTGTTTGACTTCTCTTTCCCTCAAGGCTCCATCAGGTTCCCCTAGACACTGCCACAGACTCTCTCAGCACCACACAGACACTGCCATCTTCTCACCCAGAGGAGTCCCTGTGCTGCGTGTCATCCTGTGCGGTGTGATACGGCCATGGGCAGGCCTCGTCAAGACAAAACCATCCAGAAACACGAAATGGCACTGCCACCCCCACCTCCCGTCCCTGTCTGCTTCATCACAATGTGGGTGCCAGATGAAAAGTCCCAGTGCAAACAAGTTTAGATTGTCCTTCTGTAGGAAGACACCAATCCACCATCAGAATCATAGGGTAGCAAGTGACTCCCCCTCAAATGCTTTCAAAGCCACTTACATCACCTGTCTTGTACCCTGAATTAAGCATATAGTTTCTTCATAATACTGTTCTGCTCTGATTACACCATAGAGAAACCTTACCGCTGCTGCCCAGGGTGCCCTGGTGTAGCCCCTTGCCCCATTTTCTTCACGTCTGACACCCATGCAGTACCTGTCGCACTGCCTTGTCACGGATTTCCATCACCTACTCCATGATCTGCCAGTAAAAGCCTCTCAGCTCATAGCCTCCCCAGGGCCCCCAGCATCTTCTCGCACAAGCGAGACACTTACTCTCACCGCCTGGCCTTTGCTGGTGCCGCTCCCTCCTTTCCCTGGCTGAAAATCCTAGTATATTAACATCCAGGAAAAAAACATCTCACAAAGAACAGCAGGTGCAGACCCTTGGAGAGGACTGCGCTCACCACATTCCAGGAACAGCGAGGAGCACGGCGATCCAGGAAGGGTTGCATCATGAAAGTCAGATCATCAGATGTGAGGGGCTTTTCCACACAGAATCCTTGATCCTTCATTCCATCGGAGCTCTGGTGGAGAATTTCCCTACAGTTACCGCATGCAGGGGTGACTGCTGGTACAAATCATTTCACGTCAAGCCACGCCTGAGCCCCGGAACAGCTCCTCCCAGCACGCGGTGGCATGCCTGGGCACCCGTGGGTCTGTTCAGTGTGAACCCTCCACCGCTCCATCAAGGCTGGCCCCTCCGCGAAGGCTCTGTCTTACGCCCCCAAGGTGTATGTGTGCATGACTGAGTTTGTGTTTTTTAAAATAAAACTTTATTGATGATTCATACACCATACAATTCACCCATTTCAAGTGCACAATCTGGTGGTTTTTAGTATCCAGAGTTGTATAACCAATCATCACAATTTGAGAATAGTTCATCACCCTAAAAAAACCCCATACCCTTCAGCAGTCTCTCTCCATTTCCCCCCACCTCCCCCATCAGTCTGCTGTCTGTCTGTGGACTTGCCTGTTCGGGACACTTCACACACATGGAGTCATAATCACACAGTATGTGGCCTTTTGTGTCCGACTTCTTTCACTTAGTACAATGATGTCAAGTCTTTCACTTAGTACAATGATGTCAAGTTTCATCTGTGTATGTTGCAATGTGAATCTGTAATCTTTTTTTTTTAACAGCTGAACAGTATCTTGTTTATCCTTTCACCCATTGATGGAAACATTTCCCACTTTTCGGCTTTTATGAACAGTGTTGCCTTGGACATTTGTGTACAAGTTTTTGTGTGGGTGTGTTTTCCTTTCTCTTGGGTATATACCTAGGGTAGGAACTTCTTGGTCAAACACTCTTTTTAATCTTTTTTTTTTTTCCAGTGGAGGTACTGGGGATTGAACCCAGTTCCTCATGCATGCTAAGCACATGCTCTACCACTGAGCTATACCCTCTCCCCTAAGCTTTTGAGGAAAAGCCAGACTGTCTTCCAAAGTGGCTGTCCCACTTTACATTCTCACCAGCAGCGTATAATGTCCGGACTTCTCTGCCGCCTCAACAACACTGGATGTTGTCCTTCTTGCTACAGCCAGCCTCGCGGGTACGACGTGGCCTCGTGGTGGTTTAGATTTGCGTTTCTGTCACGGATGTGTTGAGCGTCTTTCCATGTGCTTCTTGTCCATTTGTCTTTTTTGGGGAAATGTGTATTCAGGTCCTTTGCCTATGTTTTAACCGGCTGTCCTTTCATCACCGAGTTGTAAAATAGGTTTTCCCAGCGCCCTAGCGTGTACACATGCTTTGCAGGGATTGGCTACCACTCGCTGGGTTGTCCTTTCACTTTCTTGATGGTGTCCTTTGAAGCACAGAAGTTTTTAATTTTGATGATGCCCAGTTTGTCTATTTTTCCCTTTGGCTCCTTATGCTTTTAGTATGTGTATTAGATTAGACAGAGAGATGAGGCATTGCTGCTCGTGCATACTGGGGGTAGGATTTCCAGATAAGATGTCCAGTTACATCTGAATTTCAGATAAACATTGAATAATTTTTTTTAGTATAAGAAGTATGTCCCAAATATATTGTTTACCTGGAATCCATATGTGCCTTTATTTGCTTAATCTGGCAGCCCTGGCCAGTGGTCCACCGTACGTGTGCCTGTGTGCGCACGTGTGTGTGTGTAAATGTGTGTCTGTGTGATGTGATAGGCGGCAATGCTCACAAGCTTCTTCAGACCAAGCCAGCCTCAAAGTCCCCTGGGGACAGTGTCCTTCCCCATCTACCAGGGGGGCCTCACCCACTCTCTTGGAGCCAAGCCAGCACTGGCCTCCTAACCATGGAAGGTGGGCACCAGGACTGGAGCAGAGCTCACATATACCAGCTTCCCTTATTTGGTACCGGACGTCTCTGAAGGTCCCCAGCAGAGGTGAGCACGGGCTGTCTATGGAAGTACCAGCTCAGTAATGCGTCCATTACTGGCTTTTCCTCCTCCTTCCTCTCTCCCTGCTTCTTCACTCCTGCTTCGAGTCACCTCCCTACATGAGCTCTCTGCCTGCAGCCCTGCTCCAGGGGAAATCCAAACTGCGGCAGTTAGTACTGGAAGTGGCCCTAGAAATCAAGCCCTCTGGTCAGATGGCAAAAACATCCGGTGATAAATGCATCCTATCCCTTGGCAGTGACTACGATTCTCACTAGTTACGGCAAGAGATGAGGTTCATGTCCAAGGGGAAGCGCTGGCTTAGGCGATAGTAACACTGCTGGGACAGTGGCAATCCTAAGGGCTGCAGAGCTTCTCACGCTTTGAAGAATGAAAATGATGGGCCACTGTCGACTCAGGGCGTCGTGAAAGCCAGAGCCCCCCTCCTGCAGCGAGAGCAGGCTGGCCTGAAACCAGGCGCAGAACTGAGTCTCAGGACAGTGGAACGGCAAAAGGGGCTTGCCAGAGCACTGGTGCCAAAGCTCTGGGCCGACTGGAAAAGATGAGGACCCTGATATGCGAGACACTGAGGCAGCTGTGCTCGTGTACCTGGACCCCTAAATTCTCCTGAGCCCTCCGGCCTAACAAAAGCCTCTCTCTTGACGCAGGAGACCATGCCTCTTTCTGCCTGGAGACCATGCAAACGTCACACCAGAAGCCAGTGTCCCTCAAGATAATGCTCCTTCTCCTCAACATCTGTCCCCACCTTCCCCAATACATACAGACTGCAATCTTGTGATTTGTAAGAAGTATCTGTTTGGTCATTCAGATGAGCTGAGCAGGCCCAGAAGTCACAGGTGTGTCAGCAGGAGGTCCTACCTTTGCTGAGCTGATGCCTCCCCCTCCGCTCACACCTGTGGGTTCACAGAAGGCTCCCTTTGACTTGATGGAAGAAACAACTAGGGTGTTTCAGAGAGGGATCAGCTCAGTGTTTTGGGGTGTAACCAAAATGTGCCCATTCACATGGCCTTCCTCAGGAGTGGCCCTGAAGGCCAGAGGGAGGGCACCTGGGGGGCTGTGCTGAGAGCAGGCTACCCGGCGCCAGCTTCTCATGGGGGAAGAAGGGGCCCAAGGGAAAGATAGCGTGGCCTCCTGGGCTGCAGTGAACGGCCTGTCCAGACAAGGGGTCTGCAAACAATAAGGCAAAAAGTCTGGAGACCAGGAGATCTGAGGAAGACTTCAGCTCACAGATGGACCGATGGGGGCCGAAACGAAGCGTGTGGATCTCGTGTCTTCCGTCAACGCCTATCAGAAAGTACCACTGCACAGTGTCAGGAAGATCGGGGGCAGCACAGACTGGGGCCCGCGGCCTGCTCACGGGTAGGACAAGAGGCAGGTCTCCGGGCTTCTCCTCCCCTCGTCAGCTGTAGCAGCTGCAGTGGTGGCCCACGACCACGAGCTGCCGCCCAATCGCTAGATCGTGTGTGGGCCCCCGTGCCAGTCAGGACACAAAAGGACAGCACACGTGAAAGGCAAGGACACCCAGGCAGTCTGCAGGCTACCGGAACAGGAAGGACATTTCAGACTCCGAGCACTACTGATTCTTTTCCACTAGTGACCCCTTGCCCTGATATACCTGGCCGGTGCATAGACTCGTTACCTGCAGTCTGATCCTAGGACGGCACAAAAGGCAGTTTGCAGTGATCAGAGCTACACCAGACGTCACACTTCCTTGCTGTCCCCAATCCTGGTGCGTCGTTTGCCTGACCACTATGGCTACAGCAGTAGAGAGAGAGATTTCAGTGACTACTACTAAGAGGTAGAAAAAACTGAGAATATGAAAATAAGTGACATAAGGGAAGAGCGAAGTCACTGGGTTTCTAGCTAACAGGAGGTCCTGGGGGCTTCTGGCCACTCTTAAATCTAACAGCCTGCAGGCAGAAGAGTCAGGATGGATTTAAGGTAACCATATTGTGTGTTGTTGGCTCCTGGAATTCAGAAGGAAGCATCTCAAGGAGTCAGATTTTCACAGACTTTGGCAGAAACAGAGCACACATGACCAAAAAGCACACAGGCTGACAAAAATGTTCCCAGTGACGGAAAACGTGCTCAGTGTGCAGGAAAAAAGCACGACATAGGCCAGGATGCAGCTACGCCACCCAGTGTACCGCAACCTCCTAACATGCATGTTCTCAAGTGCTCAAAGTTCTATTTACCCCAAATCCAAATTTTCTAAAAGTAAAACCAGTAGGGGAATAGTTCTCTCTCTAGAATAGTACTGAATAACTAACATTGTTTTTTATAGTAATAGTCCTAAGGCATTACAAGATGTTATAAGTTTATTCTAAATCCGATTAAATTGTGTTCCACGTGGCTCAATTCTTTACAAACCGTTAAGTCTTGAATATATGTTAAAACGGTTAAACAATTTTAATGTTTCCTCCTTGATTATACTGGATACACAGCAGTTTAACTCTACAAAAGGCTACAAAAGGCGAAGCCAGTGTGGCTTCCGGGACCTGCAGTGTGGGGAGGGCACCCTCCCCCGCGGGCTGGCGGGTCAGGAACCCACTGTGCCCCGCCTGAGCTCACTCCTCGGCCTCCCTGATGTTGAGTGAAACAAAATCTACCCCGGAGTTTACACTGCAATTACTGGGCTTTCTCCCTAAGACTCATGTTCTAAAGGTAAAAAACAAAAACCACCGAGAGAGACTTGAGCGTTAAGGCCCTTCACTCTCCGCAGTGTGGACTCTCTGATGTTTGGAAAGATTTGACTTACTGCAGAAGGTTTTCCCACAACTATTACACCAGTAGGGCTTTTCCCCGGTGTGGATTCTATGGTGTTTATTAAAATTTGAGCTGTGGTTAAAGGCCTTCCCACACTCCTTACATTTATACGGCTTCTCTCCAGTGTGGAGCCTCTGATGAGAACTCAGGCCTGCGTGCTGACTAAAGCTCTTTCCACACTCGTTACACTGATACGGCTTCTCCCCAGTGTGTATTCGATAGTGTCGAATGAGGCTGCCTTTCCCACTGAAAGCTTTTCCACAATCTTTACACTGATAAGGTGCCTCCTCAGTGTGCATTCGCTGATGTTTAAGGAGGTCCGAGCTCTGACCGAAGGCTTTTCCACACTTACAGTCATAGGGCCGGTCCACCAAGTGTGTTCTGTAGTGAAGGGTCAGGTTTGAGCTGTGGCTGAAAGCTTTCCCACATTTGGTGCACACGTACGGTTTCTCCCCAGTGTGTGTTCTCCGGTGTTTAGTGAGATTTGAGCTATTACTAAAGGCTTTCCCACACTCAGCACATATGTAACGTCTCTCTCCTGGAGCAGGTTTAGTAATTAATTCTCTACCTTTTGGGGAACCTTTGTCTTGGAGAGGGGATTTTGTCCCTCTTTCCTTTTCAAGACTTACCCACTGCCTTTCTAACCTGGCCTCACACTTATTGGCAATAATCATGGGAATACTGTCCCTGCCAAACCCTTCTGCATGAGATTCTTCAGAACCTTCCTGCTTATCTGTTGATTCCTCATTCTGGGTGTTCAATTCACAATCTGAAACAATAAGGAAATAGGACATGTCAGTTGTTTCCTGTTCTGAGAAGAAGCTGTTAAATGAGAACTAAAGTCACCAGGTGAGATTGGCGGATTCTAAAGGGTAACCAAGTATCGCTCTATGAAGTCACAGTATCACACTGATACACGCTAAGTCATCGTCAAATCTAGTTTACAATGCCAGACTTTCGCACAAGTTCCCTAGCAGACATTATTATGGTCTGAGGAGTACGTGGCTATCTCTGCCAGGAGAACCTCACACATAGAGGGCAGTCAGGAAAAACCAAGCACACTGGGGCAGTGGCAAAGGAGATGGGTGATGCTCAGGCAGAAAGAAGCAAGCAAGAAAGACTGTAGAGGGTCAAAGTTGATTAAGGAAAATAAAAAGAATGATTAAGGAAGAGGAGGCTAGTGGCAAACTCACATTTCACCAGGCAGTTGTACTTCTTAAAAGTCCATCTAACTGCCCTGATACACAGAAAAGTGGAGTAAGAGAAATTTACACTGGAAAACGGGTTCCCTTTGAGAAGTGTCATCCCTCTGCAAGTCCAAAAGCTTTGATCAACTAGGTACTTTCCCTGAACCCCTTTCTTCTCGTCCCTGTCTCTCTCCGCACCCGACCGCCTCCTTCCTTCCTCTGCTGTCAGCGCTTCCAGGCCCACCCCTCCTCACTGCCTGTGTGACTGCAGCGGCATCAGCTAAAATTGCTTCCAGCCTCCATGACGAGCAACCATGTGGCTACATGGACAGGTTTCCCTTCAAGTTGCCGAGAACTATGTGTGGGAAACAATCAACCTCGTAAGAGTTAAACATTTTAAATAGCCTAATGAGGCAGAAGTTGGAAAAGAATTTACCAGGGACCATTTCTGCATAATCCAAAAATGATTATAACAGGTTCACTAAGTCATGAACAAATGAACCAGTACCACCTCTTACTGGTTCATTCACCTGTCCTCACCTTTATTAAAAGTTCACTTCAACTCTCCCTTTATGAGGGTGTCATCTGTTCCCATGCCAGGACTCTGACTACGACACTCCGAGGGAGGAAAGGTACTCATTCTGCCTCATCAGCCAGACCTGTCGAGTCAGTCTAGGGGGTCACCCCACAACCAGGGATTAGTTATTGTTTCAACCACAAAAGCCTGGGGGACCGAGCAGCAGCCCGACAGATGGTCCATACCTTGAATCTTTCTCAGCTCTGGAGTGAGATCCTGTTCTTCACCAGTCTCTTGGATGTAGAGGGGACCCCAAGACTCGTATCTGTGACTGGTCTCCACAGACTGTACCTCTGGGCTGCTCAGGGATCCCTTCATGGTTCCTGAAGATGACATCTTCTCCCACAACTGTTTCTGTTCACTTGGAGGCGGTGAGGCCTAGAGACAATCAGGAGTGGCTGGGTCTGTGCACAGCTCATTTTAAAAACCAGAATGAAAGAAAATCTCAGGAGAGCTATGTAGAACCTCTAGGAAAAGAAAAAGAAAAAAAAATCCATCCCACTCAATTCCCAAGGACAATTCCCTAATTCCACCTACGACAGCAGAAGAAAAATAGGAAGAAGCTGGTCTGACTCAGCAGGCGGCCATTCAGCTATTCTAACCATGGGCAAACCAGCTCCCAATCTCACAGAATAAAAAGTCCCCCAGCCCACCTGCTGTGCTGGCTCATCCAGTTCTCGCTCCAGGTCTTCCAGCAGAGTGACAGCCTCTTCAGCACTCTCCGGGCAGTGCTCCTGCACCCAGGCCTGGAGCTCCTGGGGCAGGATGGTCAGGAACTGCTCCAGCACCAGCAGCTCCAGGATCTGCTCCTTGGTGTGGATCTCGGGCCTCAGCCACTCACAGCAGAGCACCCGGAGTTGGCTAAGGGCCTCCCGGGGGCCCGGTGTGTCATGGTACCCAAACTGCCTGAAGCGCTGGCGGAACAGCTCCAGGCTGGGAAGGCACTTCCCTCTCTCCTCCTCCTCAACCTTCACAATCACAGGCCCCTGCTCCCGTGGAGGCCTAGGGCCCAGGACGGTGGCCATGCTCAGCACCTTGGTCATCACACAGGCACTCCAGAGACTGAAGCTGGGGTTCTGTGTAGCAGGAGTACTGGTTCCTTCGGGTTTCTGGTTCTTTAGGGCTACACGTTAAACCTATGAAAATATGGTTACCATAACATTAGCAAAAGAAAAAGTATGCTTTTTGGTTTTTACAGCCACACCTTTAGCACAAGAAATTGTGGAAATTATGGCCACCATAAAACTACCATATAACAATGACAGTCAGAATCTTTCTGGAGTCAGCTCAGGATATCCTGCTTTGATCTGACTTTGTCTCCACTCTCCAAAAAAGTGCACTGTGGCTCAATTCCAATCTTGTGTATATATTCAAAGGAAATGAAAATGCTAATTCAAAAATACACAAAATACACATGCTAGCCACTATACATAAAAATAGGTTAAAAAATTTTTTTGTATAGCACAGGGAACTATGTTCAGTATCTTGTAATAACCGTTAATTGAAAAAAATATGAAAATGAATATATGTATGTATATGCATGTCTGGGACATTGTACTGTACACCAGAGATTAACACATTGTAATTGATGGAACTTCAATTAAAACACAAACAAACAAAACAAACAAAAATACACATAAACCCCAATGTTCACAGCAGCACTATTTACAACAGCCAAGATACGGAAGCAACCTGTGTCCATCAACAGATGACTGGATAAAGAAGATGTGTACACGCGCGCGCGCGCACACACACAGGAATACTACTCAGCAATAAAAAGAATGAAACTTTGCTATCTGCAACAACATGGATGGACTTGCAGGGTATTATGCTTAGTGAAATAAGTCAGAGAAAGACAGATATTGTATGTTATCACGTACATGTGAAATCTAAAAAACAAAACAAACTAGTGAATAACAAAAAAGAAACAGACTCACAGATACAGAAAAGAAACTAGTGGTTACCAGTGGGAAAGAGGTAAAAAGAAGGAGCAAGATGGCGGTAGAAAATTAAGAGGTACAAACTACTATGTATAAAAGAAATAAGCTACAAGGATTATTATTGTACAGCAGAGGGAATACAGACAATATTTTATAATAACTATAAATGGAGTATAATCTTTAAGTTGTGAATCACTATGTTGTACACCTGTAACTTACATAATATTATAAATCAAATATACCTCAATTTGAAAAAATGCACCATGGCATAATTTTAAAATTAAATTTAAATTAACCTTGCTCCAAAACTTGTTTCAGAATCTTAGAACTCCCGAGATCTCAACAGGCCATCTACTGGCCAAATGCAATCTGTCTAAACCTACAACTTTTAGCTTCAGCATTAAATATTTACTAGTCAAGTGACTGGACTAGTCAGCATAACCAGAAGTCATGTTAGAAGGCTAGACTAACTAGCGTATCTGTAAACAATTGAGCATAATCAGGGATGTAACTTGAGCTGCACTTGACCCACTTTAAGAGGAGCACACTCATGTTTTTAAACGCCCTTTACTTAAGTTTAGCTTTCACAGAAGGGCAAGTGGAATGACAGATTAGACTAAAAGTAACCTGTGTTCTGTCAGAGGTATTTCTTTTGATGAGATACTGCTGAGAAGAAACTGAAGGGAAAAATTAAATCACACTTGACGATACAAACCTAAAAATGTTC